AGTTCGGAGGAAATTAAATATGTGCTTCAAAATGCTTCTGCTGATTTGATTCTAAATGTTACTATAACTCTTGGATATAGTGTAAGCTTGCTATTTTAAAATATTTACTTTAAATGTTGTATGTTTTGTATTTAAAATATTCAGTATTTAGAATAAAGTTCATTATTCTATGAATATTTTCGCTCAAAAATATATGTTTATTAAATATATTTTTTGGCTTAGTTCAAAACAGTGCTGGAAGTTGAATCTGATGAAGCTTTTCTCACTAACCCTATGTACGAATCTGTTGAGCAAGGAAATTTCACCAAAGTTCCTATAATCATAGGTCACAATTCTGAAGAAACTTGTGCATATGCCACCGGTAATATAAAAATTTAGTCTAAAATATATATAGATTATTACGTTTTAGATCTTACAACGGCTCAACTGATCGCAGATAGTTTCCAAGATAACCCACAGTTACTAATGCCCAATATGCCTTTAATAGATGGTGCTGATCCTGTTAAAATAGGACAAGAAATAATCGAAGAATATGTAGGAAAGAATGGATCATTTAAGACAGATTTAGCAGCTTTCTTTAACGTAATACCTTATTTTTAATCTCAATCAGTACAGGGCGGTCCGAACTGTACTCCGGAAACTTCGGCAGCATATTCTGCAGATAAAAATAAGTTCCTATAAATGTATGTCCCAAAATGCTTAGTTTCGGAGATACAGGGTGTAGAAGTTTCATTTTTATTTTGATTTTTTCCAAATAATTTCTGAAGTAATATCAATATTTGGATGAAAATTGTTGTCTCTGGGAATATTTTGACAGGAGAAATTTGATTTTGATGTCAATATGACTTACTTGTAGAGGGCGCCACCTACATATTTTTTAACTTGTTTGAAGATTAATATCTTTTCGTCCGTACCTGTATAAAACTACCGAGTAAAAAAACATACATTTACGACGTTTTTTACGTAAAAAAAGTTCTTTGTAAAAATTGCTACGAGTTATAGTTCTCGAGATATTTGGAATCGAAATTATCAATACCTGTCGTCATTGACATAGATTAAACATGTTGACTAAATAGTTATTAGACTGAAATCATAAATTTCAAATGTTTTGGTGCCAAAAGTTCATCATTTTTTTCGAAGAAAAAGTTATAATTAATTTAAAAAAATAAAAAAGTTCCCAAATTTTATCATTTTAGTCAAATAACCATAGCTGGGAAACTTAAATGGAAATGACAGTTCATTAAAAATAGTTTTTCCTCCAAGATGCAGAGGCGCAAAATATTAAAACTGTCAATATTAACAATGCAAATGTCAATATCTGACAATAATAAAATTTGATTTTTAACTGTCACTCAGAGACGCTTTTGTTGTGATTTCACGGTTTGATTTCTTGCTTTGATTTGTCGAATTATTGTAAAATTAAATTCCTTCAGATTTTTTGCCAGTATTCTGTTTTAGACAATGTTTTTTAAAAATGGTGGGACAATTTGTGTTTTGTAATAACTTTTAATTATTTTTTATCATGGAGTTTAATTGTTGTACTCCTGGTTTCCGAAGGATACAATGGTAAGTAAATTAAACATATCTACTTACAGTTATAGATTTTTTAAATTAGTACTGCTAATAAATGCTACTTGCAGAGCAGTTATTTAAATTTTTTTACGGTGCATGTAAGGAATTAAGGACGCGCGTTTTATATTAGCATGATCAGCAGATGATTACATCTGATTTAATTTGTTTTTATTATTTCAGGTCCCAAACAGAAACAAACTGGGAATCTTGCCTACACCAAAATTATATACCTAGCCGTTTCCAATTCACTTCAAAGGGAGGAAAATTATGTAAAACTGCCTGCTATTTGCTGAAAACCGCCAAGATTAAATTATAACTGTAATAACTTAATATACACTATTTCTAGTATTTTTGTATTTTTAATTAATATCCGACATATAAGAACACTTTGTATGCTTTTAATTCAGTTGATTTATCGTTTATAATATGTTCGACCTAATTAAAAGCACACAAAGTGTTCTTACATGTATGTCTAAATATATTTTAAATTAACTAAAACAACCCCCCTTCCCCGCACCCCTCTCTTCCATTAGTATTCCTTCCTCCGTCTACCAGAGGCGCCCTTGTATAATAAAATTGAAATGTATTATAAGTTGCCTATCTATTTAATAGTATAAGTCTTTTATCTATGGTCTAGTTCTAGTTATTCAATATACAGGGTGGACCAAACTGTATTCTGGAAACTTTGGTAGCTCATTCTGCCGATAAAAATAAGTAAAAAAGTTCAATCAAAATCAAATTTTATTATTGTCAGATATTGACATTTGCATTGTTAATATTGACAGTTTTAATATTTTGCGCCTTTGCATCTTGGAGGAAAAACTATTTTTAATGAACTGTCATTTCCATTTAAGTTTCCCAGCCATGAACTAGACTAAGCATGACATATACAGGGTGGTGACAATTTCGATGCTTAACATTGGCAACTAATGAAACAATATACTATTACTTTCAGTGGTGGAGCGATGAAGTATTTGTAAGAAGCGTATACAAACATGCCATTCTTCAATCAAATTTTACACCGGTATACATGTATCAGTTTTCCTACTACGGTACAAAAAGCAAACCACATCCTAATATACCAGGTATGAAATAATAATCATCCTCATTTGCAGGTAATTCAACCATTTACAATTATGGTGTAGCCTTGGTCTTCGTCTGTCTCTTGATTCCTCCTGAGTACCATACTGTAATTTTGGTGGTTCATCTGTTGTCTGTTCTTCTTGTCAATTACTATGTCATCAGTGCGTCTTAAGTACGCGCACACTGATGAGATGATGATGGAAGCGACTGATGAGAAATTCGATCAGCAAATACGGGTGTAGTAGGGGCAAAAAGAAACAAAATAGCGAATAATGCGGCGCGTTCGGTACGGCTGTGTGCGCTACAAGGAAAAAAAGTGCGAACTAGTTAAGCTATTCTCCATCTATTTCCAAACCAAACCGTTTGTTGGGACAGTCTAATAATAATAATGTTAGAAAATATACCTATCGGCACAAAATTCCGTCACACTAAAAATTTGACTAAGTTTGATGGTTCATAACTTTTTATTTTGTAATCCAATTTTTAAGATTATGGTATCGGTGTGAAGATAAATTTATTGGCATTATTTCTTTTATTTTAATGGTTTATATTCTCCGGTTAGGTGAGTTTATATCGGGGTAAATCAAAACGTTGTTTTTTGCAATACATTCGAAACAACAAAAACTTCGTCTTATTGTTGTGCCCTGTATATGCTCAAAATAAATTCGGAATAAAAATGTCTGACGTCGCATCCGTTAAAAAGGAATTAATTTACAATTTTAAAAAAAAATCATCAAAATCTAATGAGTGGTTCGTGAGAAATCCAACTTTGAAATTGGGACTAGTTTTTAGTGGCCGGTTTTTTTTGCCGGCGAGTTTAGTATAACTAATGATTTTTTTTTCTAAATTGTTTTTGAAATGTTCAAGACTATTCTAATTTCTTTTTCTCAATCATATTTGTAGGAGCTGGCAAGGTTGGACACGCTGATGACGTGGCTTATCTGTTTAACATTTCATCGTTTCCTATTGAAACAGATAGTGATTTCCTAGCCAGGCGGAGATTAGTAAAATTATGGACTAATTTTGCCAAGACACAGTAAGTTTCCGAATAAAATAATCTATATTTTTAATTTTACTAAAATTATCATTTTTCCCTTGTAGAAACCCAACTCCTGATGATGAAACTTCTGAAATCCTCGAAAATGTAAAATGGGAAGTAACGACACCGGACAACGTTAGATATTTGGATATTGGTGATGATTTGGTCATGAAACCTAGTAGAAAGGTTAAGGAAACTGTCTTTTGGGATTATATTTGGAGTACTTACT